CAAGATCTTCTCCACAATATGATCTTTAGAAAACATCTCTCTATTACAATTAAGCTGATTTGTCACGGTTTCAGCACACATGATGTATTGGAAAACTCCTTATGGCTCCTTCATTCTTATACTTTCCATCTCGTTACATAGTATTTATAGTCAAACTCATTTGACTTAGTCATTGTCCTTGTATGTTCTCTCTAATGCATCCCACGCTTCTTCGAGGTTTAAGCATTTGTTATCTGTTAGGAATATTAATCTATTATCTTTTATTTAAATTAGATATTAAGAGATTTTATTATCTTTCAAGAGAAAAAAAAAGATTTTCGATTATTATTTTTTATTTAGGCAGTTATGATTGAGATATTATTAATATTTAATATTTTATAATATATTTATTTTATATATAGATAGAGTATATGAATAAGATATATACACATATGTGATATCGGACATACACTTACACAAAACCCTAAAAATTCTCATAATGGTATCATAGCTATCATAACTTTGGTTCTCATTATAAGAATGGAAAGAGAAAGAAGTTTTTCACAATTCGTTATTCCAATTTTTGATGGTGAAAGTTATAACCTATGGGTTATGAGAATGCAATCCTATATTGAAAGATTGAATTTATGGAAAGTTGTGGAAGAGGATTATATCACTGATCCATTGCATCAAAATCTCACCATAACTCAAATCAAAATCCACAAGAAAAGAAAAATGAGGAAGATAAAAGCGAAGTCATGTTTATATGCAAGTATTTCACAAATGATCCTCACTAGAATCATGACGCCAAAGTCACCTAAAGAAATTTGGAATTATTTAAAAGACCAATATGAAGGGGACGAGAAAATTCAAGGATGAAAGTTCTAAACTTAATAAGAGAATTTGAGATACAAAAAATGCAAGAGTATGAGAGAATTAATTAATACTTAAGCAAATTGTTGGGTATTGCTAACAAGATAAAATTGTTGGGTAAGAAATTTCTTGATTCTAGAATAATTGAGAAAATTTCGGTAACTATGTCAGAAAAATATGAAACATTTATTGCTTCATTGGAAAATACAGAAAATTTGTCTAATATTACTTTGATAGAAGTGTTACATGTTTTACAAGCACAAGAAAACAAAAATTAATGAAAGGAGATCATGTTGTTGTTGAAGGTTCTTTACTATCAAGGTGAAGGTTCTCTCCAAGCCAAGAATAATGAAGGTACCAAATCACGTGTCTTCTCTGTCTGTCCTTATTGTAAGAAAAATATTCACTCACACAACAATTATTGGTGGAGGCCTCATGTAAAACTTCACAAATGCGGTCAATTGGAATATATAGAAAAAATATGCAAATCACAACCAAAAGAAGTCATTAAAAAGGATGGACTAGAAGGGAACTTCTTCTTGCATCAACATGCTCTACAATAAAAAAAAATCCACAAGTTAGCTTATAGATAGTGGTTGTACAAACCACATGACTCATGATCGATAATTTTTCAAAGAGTACAATGAATCTGTTATTTCTAATGTGAGAATTGGCAATGGAGAACAAATGAATGTGAAAGGTATGAGAATAATTGTAGTTAAAAGTGATTCAGGTATGAAATTAATTTTTTATATTTTATATATTCCTAATATTAATCATAATTTGTTAAGTGTTGCTTAATTATTGGAGAAAAGTTATAAGGCATTTTTTGAACACACAAATTTTGTATGATTAAATATGCAAATAACTTGAAAATATTCAAAGTTTACATGAAAGAAAAAAGTTTCACTTTAGATTTGATGAAAAAATAATTGACTACAAACAGAGGATATAAAAGAAAAGTCAAAGAAAAAATATGATGAATATTTCTTGAAGAAACTTGATGTTAAGGAGGAAAATAGAAATGCAGATGAACTAGTTTCCAACCGTCATCAAAGGATCAACATTACTACCATGAAGTTTGAAAGAAGCAAAGGAGATGAATTTGATAAAGGGAGAAATATATTGATGAAGAAAGTTAAATTGAATGAAAATGTAATCTCTTACAAGAAGGATGACAAAAAGTACAAGCAAAAAATGAGGAAAAATTCCAAACAAAATAAAAGAAAAAATATCAAATTCAAATAAATAGATATTAAAGTAAGGAGGAATGTTGGAAATATTACTTTATTATTTTTTATTTAAATTAGGTATTAAAAGATTGTATTATCTTTCAAGACAAGAGAAAAAGATATTAGGCTATTATTTTTTATTTAGACAAGTAATGATTGAGATATTATTAATATTTAATATTTTGTAATATTTTTACTTTATGTATAAATAGAGTATATGAATAAAATATATACCAATATGAGATATTATAAATACACATACACAAATTCTCATCACTATCTTCTTAAAGATGGATCCATCAACAACTCGATACAACATGTACAAAGTTGTGTTTTCCTTCTCACGCTTCTCTCTCAACACTTTGTTTGTAGTTGTTGAAAATCCTTCGATACTTTTTGGTTCCTCAAAACCATCCTTGACTATTTCCCAATTAGTTTGAAATCTTAGAAGGTTATTCATCTTGAGACTCCAACTCTCATACTTGACTATTTTTGTCAACTGAGACAGGGTCACACCCACTAGTGCAAAAATGGGCCTTTACATCAGGTATTTTGGGCTTTTTAGGTCGTATTTAAGACTAACGTTAAAATGGGAGACATAAATTTACATCAGACCCCTTAACCCGACGTAAATTTACGTCAGTTATCGAGACCCGGCATTAATTTACGTTGCATATACTACTAACAGACGTAAAAAGTTTCAAAAATAAAAAAAAGGAGCAAATTTATGTCGCGTATTGGTATACGCGACGTAAATTTACGTCACATATTGGTATATGCGACGTAAATTTACGTCGCGTTACGTCGCATATACGAATATGTGACGTAAATTTATGTTGCGTATACCAATACACGACGTAAATTTTCTCCTTTTTAAAAAAATTGGTTTATTTTGTCTTACAACCAAAACCTGCAAATATATATTATAACCAGAAAGTCCAGAGGTTCAAGTTTCTTTAGCTAGTAAATTAAAAATATAATATTATATATAATTCAAACTACATAATAAAACAATATAATACAAACTAAAATCTATTACAAACTAAAATTTAGTACAAACTAAGCTACCTAAACTACATAATACACACAATATAATATGAATAATAACCTAAAAAATTAAGTACTAGAATTGTTGAACGAAAAACCTTGCCCATTGTTCTCTAATTTGTGTAATATCATATTCTGGTAATGGAGATGGATCTTGAAATACCTGAAACATTAATTTGACTCTTGCAAACATGCAACATGCATAAAGTTAAATAAACTTAACTAATGTTGAAAGTAATTACCTTCGTCCAAGAATCAGTTATACCCGCACAAACTATGACTCTCATCCAATACATAACATAGTAATCACATTCAAATGAGTCTATTTGCTTATTACATTGGAATGATGAATAAAACATAATGTTATTTTCAAAATTTAAATACAAATAATAATTATGGTATTCACTTATATAAATAAGTTTCTAACCTTAGGATAAATGAACTGCAAAGTCTTTGTTCGGGTTTTTCTCTTAGAACATTAGTTCCGAGACACGATTCTAAGTGAAAAAAAGTCATATATTATTCAATATGTATTTATAATTTAAAAACATAATTAATGAATAAAAGATAAAATTATCCTTGTACAAGTTTTTCATTTTTGGACTCAGTTTCTAATGTAATGAATAAAACTACACCACAATGTAATCTCGGGGCATGATTACAATTAACTCGCCAATGAGACGTATATTATATGACATAAAAATTAGTTATAAAAATATAAATTAAAATACAAATTAAAATACTAACCCTTCAATGTATGAAGCCAAATATATATGTCTTTTTGAGTCACTCATCCATGTTTGCATATATTGTTGGATTCCAACCTTTGTATTTCCAGATTTTTGGATGGATTGAGGCTCAATTAATCCGTATACTTTAGATTTTTCTTGTTCCACACTCAATTTATCAATGTACCTAAAACAATTAATTATAAGTTGAATATAATTATTATAATCTTAGAAACATAAATGAAAATGAATTACATTGCCCACAATTGTATGATGGAAATGTTTAACATGCAATTTCCCCCAACAATTTCTAATGCATCGGGCAAGGAAATGTATAATGGAATACTAGAACTGTCAATTTCAAACACTCTAATCTCTCACTGTATCTGACACGGTATCTTCCTCAACCGTGGTAATATGGTCAACAACATAGATATGAGATCATCCTCACATTTTTTCATGTCCTCATCAATAATAGGTTGTTTCTTATGCTTAGCATGACACAAGTCCTCCTAAACAAATGATAACAATTAATTAAACATTTATATAATAGTAGAAAAGAGAAAATGGACAATATATATATATATATATATTACCTTGGTCCGTGCTTCGATAGTGGCATAACCAATCGGTACCGATTGTTAGACCAACAATCACTCTTCAAGTTCTCTCATACTCAAACACTTAAACCCTAGTTCTTGATATCAATTTGATAACAACAAATTTCTGAATATTGAATATTATTAATTCTCTGTCATGCAAAATAAAGAATTATATTTAAGTATTTAAATATTGCAACTTTGACTTTCTACAATCCTAATATTAACACACCAGAATCAAAATAATAATTGCTTAGAATTATAATATTAACTACCCAAGATATCTGAAAAATCAAAATATTTCAACTAATTTTTAAACTTATTATTTTTTATTTAATTTTTTTGCAATATATTATGCATCTTAAACAAAAAAAGAGAGTAATAATTTAATATCTACTCTAGATTTTAAACTAATAGCTTCACTTTTGACTAACCAGTTTCTTACTTTTGTTTGAGAAGATTATGATGTGTTGTTTGTTTGTGCAAGATGCAGTTCTACGATCACTACATGGAATGGGGGCTAAAGGAACCAATCAAGAAAAATGACAGAAATAAGGAAGAGGAATGGAATTACAGCCACAAGCACAGTAAATATTCTAGCAGCTGAGGCTGATCTCTACATGGCTGAGATTGAAAATAAGATCATTGTCAAGATTGGATCCAAACAGGATCTTGGCGTTCTTCCACCAAATGTTAAGGTCGCCACCAGTGGACAAGACTATGCTGTGTGGGAAAGAAAGTGAAAATGCACTGTGCTTGAAAAATAATTAAAATAGTAAACACCATGCATGATTTTATGAATAAGACTTTGAGAGTTTAATAACCATGGTAAAATTTATATTGTTGTTTAAATAAAGTTTATTTTGATTACAAATTTGGTGGATCAAATAATAAATCTTCTCTTAATCATTACTTTAGTTGCATTATTGATATTATCTTATTTACTTCCAAATCCAACCAATTCATATATTTACCCATGTTTGCATCTAAAACTGATCCAGTAATGTTTTTATGGATATTAACATCTTATCATAAGAAGGAATTTGATTTTTTCTCCTGATTGAATAAAAAACATTTCTTGAATGAGTTATTGAACTCCATGAAAAATGGAAAATGCACTCTTTATTGGATCTACTCTTTTTTTTATGAAGAGAATGAATCTTTTTATCCAAAGATCATAAAAAATGGGTCAAGATCTTTTGGGAGAATAATTTGGAAGACCCAAAACCTTCATCATGTATACTAAATTCATGACTGCCTTATCAAATATTAATATTCTACAAAATTAAAGGTCAAGAAAGAAGAAATAGAAGCAATAGAAAGGAACCCATTCATATTGGAACCATCTTATTAATAAGAAGAAGATAACTGGAACCATCTTATTAATAAGAAGAAGATAATTGGAACCACCTAGTGTGTGTGTTTATATTTACATGTCATTCAAAGTAACACCAATCCTGTAAAACAGCTGTTCAAACGCAGCCTTAGAATCTTTCTTCCTTTTAGCAGCTCAGTTGGATGACATGTTTCCAATATGCACACACTGTGCCATTCATGTTCAAATCTCAAACTCAAAATTCTGGATTTGATCAAATCTGACACATCTTTACAAAAGCCGAGGTTCAATATATTAGAAGCCTATACACAATACAGAATGATCTTATTTGTTTCTTTCTCACCAGTGATGAAGAGCTTATTTTTATGTTCTGATAAATCGGTGAGTTGGAGATCATTCGCAATCCTCCCAGTGAGATGGAGTATATGTATAATGCTATCGACCATACATACAGCAATCACTAACATGTACAAAGTATGGTGTAGTTTTGAATAATCTTCAAAACGATGACATGTTGAGATAACTGGAGCATAACAAGGCAGCATATATTTTCCATAAGGGATTACCCTGAATTTGTTGTGTTCGTCTTTTTTTTCCCAAAGAACATAAAAACCCATGGAAAAAATGACTTCTTCTTCTTCTTTGCGGCTTTTGCATCCGGGGATGGCACAGCTCCACTGTTTGAATGGACATAAGACTTTGAACTGGAGAAGAAACGTAGAGGTGCACGATGAGATTTATCAAAACTATTTGATTCCTTGCGTCTGTCAAAACTAGTGCCTGAACTTTTACTACTTTGATGCTTAACCATTGCTTGGCCTAATGCACCAGCTTTTCTTCGTTGCTCGTGATCGGCCCTCCATTTTCGTAGTTCCTGTTCTACACCTAATTTTCCCTCCCTCGCCTTCTCGGCTTTCTCCATTGCGATCTTCAGAGATTCCCTTCTAGCAGCCATCTCTCTATTCACATCGTTTAACTTCTTCAAGGTTTTCAATTCAGACTCCTTGGCTATCTCAATTTCAGAATTAGCAGTTGCAACCCTCAAGCTGGCTTCCACTTCTGCATCATATGCTTGTTTGCTGAGATTATAGTACTCCTCCACGGAAAGTGACACCCAAGAGGATGATGACTCCACTTCCCTGTTGTTGCTGGATGACTCACTCTCTTGCAATGCTTTACTTGCTGCTATTGCCAACCTTTCAGAAGCCCTGGCTGCTTCTATCTCCTTTTGAGCTGCTCGTAATTTGCTTTGCATTGTACATGCACTTGCCTTTGCTTGTTCAGCCTCCTCCTTTATTCTCTGCAACTCTTCACGAGCTGCTTGAGCAAGCAAGTTGGCCTGATTGTTCTCTTCAACTGCTAGCTGTAGTTTCTTTGGTAGCACAGCAATATTCTCTCTGCCTTCCTTTTCCTTCATCTGAACCAAAACTGTTTCTGAATTTGTGTTGTCCAGTTCAGCTTCAAGAGATGCAACTGTAATGGAGGCCATTCCCTCTCTTTGTCTGACGGAGACAAAAGATGATTTCTCTTTTTCAAGTTCTGATTTTAAGGACGCTGCTGCCACCTTTAAGTAATTTACCTCAGTGCTAGCTTTCTCTATGTTAAGCTTCACTTCCTCAAGTTCCTTTTTGGCTGATGCAACTGCTTCTTGTATTTCACTGTGTCTCTTCTTCTCTAGACCTCCTTTCGAGACTCCTTCATCACCTTCAGGGTTAGGCTTTGATTCCATATAAAGAGTTAATTCAGCTTTCAAATCAAGTAGCAAAGCTGAGGCTGTGCTCAATTTAGATTTGAGATCCTTAACAGACAAAATTTTCTGGTTGAGACTCTGGAGTTCTTCTTCTGCCTGGTTAAGTTCCTTCTCCCAACTTAGAAAATCTTGATCTCTTGCCATGACTGTTCCTATTCTCTGTTCCTCTGCTTCCATGTGTGCTGCATGTGCACTTTCCAGTGCCTCCTTTGTGGCAATCAGCTCAATAGTCAGGTCTTCCACTGTCTTCTCTACTTGCTTCGATGAAGCAACAGCCTCTTCAGATTTTTTTATAGCTTCATCTTTTTCAACAACTAAGGATGCATATTCTCCACGCAATGCATCCAACTCCTCTTTTATGATAGTTAACTCGGTAATAGCTGATGTATACCTAGCTTTAGCTACCTCAAGCTGTGCCTTGGCTGCAACACTAGAGTCATCTGCAATACCTTGCTCCATCTCTTCCACTCTGAGCTTTGCAAGTTCTGAGTCCTGTCTTGCCTGACGCTCTTCTGTTTGAGCCCTCTCTAGGTTAAGTTTTAGTTCTTCTATTAGTCTCTTAGCGGTATCTAGCTCCTGCAGTACTTGAATTTTTGCTTGCTCAGAAGCCTCGCATTTTGTTTTATACTCTGGGATCAGCTTCTGTGCCTTTTCATGTTCATGTTCAACATGTTTGCGTCTCTGTATATCAGAAAATGTGAAGTTAAAAGCGATTGCAGCTGATAAAGCTACCATAGTCATTACTCATTAGTATAAATAATATTTTTCACAAAAATGACATATAGAATACACTCAGCTCCTTGCCAAATTAGTTCATAACCAAATATTTGTTAAGAACTAAGAGACAAGTGATGGATAAAGTCTAGCAACAAAATGTTAGGATAGTCAATTCTAAGGATACAATGTATTTAAATGTGATGTGACTTGGTTGATATGCTACAACTTAAAAAGGAACATACAGCAAATACTTCAATGTTTTCTTATCAAAGTGTAGATGCCTCTTCAATTCATCCAGAAGGTATAATTTGCTATAAGAAGTTGTGGCTTGACTCTGAAGATAATGAGTTTCATGTTATTATCATTAACATAGACAAGAAAAGAGCCACCAAAGCAACATTTCAGAATTGGTTATTGCTTAACTTTTACAAAATCAGTTTATAACCAAAAACAGTAAAGAAGGTCGTTGTTCTCATCCCTTTTACTCATATTTCAGCATTTTTCCCATTGCTTATCTTGTAATGGATATTTCGCTTATCTTTAAAAAGCAATCAAAACATCCAACAGAACTCTTTCCTCAGGACGAAGTAATAGAGTTACAAAATTTAAATAAATGCAAGACATATATACCTCTACTGTCTGGATTCTATGAGCCTTCCAATCCACAATGCCTCCAAACTTGGAAACAGCTTCCTTGACAGATTCAAATGGAGCAGCTGTATCAATTAGGCCTCTTCTTTCGGCTATCTGCTTGGCATCAGGTGAGTCAATAGCTCCCACAGTATCATCAGTAACAGGTGTTTGAGACGGATCTGTCTTTCGTTCTTTCTGTTTATTCAGAAACTGTATCCTTTCAGAAGGGGAAGCCATCTGATTATCATCAGTGGCACCAGGTAAGTTAACAGTTTTCACAGATACATCAGCAATCTTGGTTTGAGGCGGTCCTATCTTAAGCTCCATTTTATCATTTTGTGGCTCTATTCTTTCAGAAGATTTATCAACACGATTGCCAGAAGCCACACCATGTGAGCCAACAGCTCCCACAACAACATCAGTATCCATTGTTTGAGGTGGATCAATCTGTAGTTCTTTGTGGTCATTCAGCAACTCTTTTTCCTCAAAAGAGGAAGTTGAGGGTTCCATCTGATTATCAACATCACTGCCAGCACGAACGGTTGAACCACCATCCATTAGCCTGTTTGACATATCTTCTAATGCTCCAGAATCTGCAGACATGGCTCCCTGGTTGCTTTGTTCCGTTACATCAACTGTAACTTTGGTGGTTGAAGCTGAATTATCTCTGGGAATATTAGCAACCTGGGTTTGAGGTGAGTCTGTTATTAGCTTCATGGAGTCAGTATGCAATTCTTTGGTTTCAGAAGAGGGTGCTGAGAGATTCATCAGATTATCATTATCACTGCTAGCAGTGACGGCAGAGACGCCATCCTCCTGCCTGTTAAAGATATCTTCTTCTAAACCTCCTGGTTCAGAATCTGCAGCCATGGCTCCTTGGTGGCCTTCTTCTGTTCCATGAATTGTAGCTTTAGGAGTAGAAGCTGAATCACCTGTGGGAAGTTGTTCAGCTTGTGCTATAGTTTGATCACTAGAATCATTTAGGGACACTTCTAAGTCAGAGAACTCGGTTACGGGAAAACGAGTGCCAGACTCCATTCTACTGATATCACTATGTTGGCTGTCCAGAGCTTCAATGGAAGACTGAACATTGGGAGGATTCATCGCTTCAATGTCTTCATCAGGGGTTTCTGCCGGTGGGTTCTGCTCAGCCCTTATTATATTGGGTTCTGAGGGTTGCTTGTCTTCAACATCCTCCATTTGTAAGAAGCAATTGGAAGAGTTAAAGGTATCTAAAAGGAAAATAATAATGAATCAGTCAGTGAAAAAAATGAAAGTTGTTGTTTCCTGTATAAACTTTTAAGTAAATTCATGCAGACGTTTCAAATTTAATGGGTGTTGACAGCATCTAGAACGCTTGAAAACTGATAATTCATTTCCATATGTACCATTTAATTCATTTTTTCATATCCATTGTGCTCGAACATCAACCAATGATAAAAAATATAGAGTTTTATGATGCATGAAAAGCTAAAAGATCCCCCCTTTTCATACACGTTGACATTGAAATCAAAATTACAATCACGTAAACAGAATTATATGACAGAACACCTAGGTACACAAAAACTAACATTTCAAGTAGTAATCACCATGCATCCGACGCAAGTTCCGCCAATTTTTAATTGGTTTGTTCAAATTTGTAATTTCTTCTGATATATGTACATGTCAACGGAGACATACAGAAACAGAAACTTAAGGAAAAGGCAATAGATATCAATATACCATATATCCCTAAGCTTTGTACTTTCCTCTCTTGTAAGGTCAAGGAAATTGCATTGGAAATAATTATATCCAGCCCCAGCCCCAGATACAGAAAAATATTAATCCAAACCTTGCAAACCAGAAAAGTTATTATGATATGACCACAAAACTTTATAATAACGATGGTTTTTTGTAACTGTCTTCATGAACATGCAAGGGGACGATAGGGGAGGAATTGAATGGCCAAGGAGGGTATGAAGACAAGGAAGGAAACAGATTAAGCAAAAAAGATGGTGCTTTGAAAAAGAAGGAAGAAAGTAAAGAGAAAGAAGAGAAAAGAGAAGGAGAGGAACATACCCGGATTAAGCAGAAACAAAACTGATGATTGAGAGTTGGGACATATTAATGATAAGTGAAAAATTATGAGGAGGAAAGGTAATGTGGAAATTAAAATTAGAGTCTGCAAAAATAAACTGAGGGAGGAAAAGTTGGAGCTAAATTTAGAAGTGAGGAGAAAAACGGGAAAGGGTCAAGAAGGATGAACAGTTAGTGGAGCCTACATTGTCACACAAACTAAACTTACAAGGTCCACTCTGAATACTCTCTCTCTAAATTCCAAACATCAGACTTGTGTCATCTGCAAAACTGACACCTGTTTTACAAGTTGAAATAAAGAACACTGTGTAAATGTTTTTTTTTTCTTTTCTTTTCCTTTAATAAGAAAACAATCATGACAATATAATAATCGTTTAACTAGATAATATTTTAAATGTAGTGTGTGATGTTAACGGATTTTTCAAATAGAAAATATTTATTATTTTTTAAGACAAATAATATTACTTAATATTAAATTAAAAATACACTTGGTTGATATTAACTGAATTTATATTTTTTTCGATATTGGTAATACTTATTTTTTTTAATATTAATCAAAGTTGTTTTTTGACGTTTTAGTAAACTTACATTTTTAGTTGACTTTTCAATTGTGGCAGTTGGAAATTTTTATTTATTTATAAATTAGTTCTAGTTAAAGTTGATTGAAAATTGTTCATATTAACATTAAAAAAATTGACAATTTTTTTTAAAATAACAATGTTGACATTATTAAAAAATTAGTCTAATATTGATGAAGAAAACTTCCATTAATATTGAAAAAAAATCAATAATATGAATCCATAATTAATTCTTATGGATCTCGTTTGAAAAATATTAGCTTTCATTATTGGTAAAATAGTTTTATTAATGTTCATAAAAAAAAAACTCTAGAGTACATCAATTAAACAACCTTGAATAATATTGACTAGGAAATAATTTCAACCTAAGTTTAAAAAAATTATCTACTACTATCTCGAATGAACCAACTGAAGATAATTATCGATTAACAAAGTATTTAAAATTGAATAAAAAAATTAATTAGGTTAACGTAGAAACCTTTAATTAAATGAAAAAACTAATTTGATATCAGTTTAAAAAAAATGTTCAATAAAGATGGTTTTTCCACCACTAAATCCATAATGTCTTGGTTTAATCTACAATGTCTGGATTTGAATGAATTTGTCAACGAAAATTAAGTGAATTGCGTACAAAGTAAAAGAAACATAAATATGAAAAGAAAAGAAATAAAAAAAATTATTCTAAATTGTAAGATACGATTTATAATATAATAAAATTATAATTTTATAATTTATATGTTTTAAAATTCTATTTAAAAATAAATTATCTTCTAATATTTTTTAGGGAAATTTGTTAAATGTCATGTTTTTTTTTATCTCATCATCCTGGTATATTATTCGTAATGTCCCATGAACAACGTCGTAAAAGTCAACCAAAAATCAAACGTCATAATCAACACGTCACAACAAATACTGTATAATATTGAGCTGTCGCGGTACCTTGTCTTAATTCAACGGAGATTTAAAAACCAAAAACAAATATTATTTTGATTGAACGTGTTTACATGACATTATTTTATTAAAAATAAAGATTAAAATAAACAATATTTTGAATCCTCTAATTTTGAATGATGTATTAGCGGCTACAAATCCAGTTCATTTGATAAATATAATTTAAGATTTGAGGTTAAAGATAAATTTTATATATTATATTTACCTAATTTATTTATATGAATTTTTTTTAATAAGACTGGGATAAGTTAAAATTTTATATTAGATAATATCTTAAAGATAATAATTAAAATAGAATATTAGTGTTCATAGTATAATATAAAGTCTCGCTTTATTTATATACTTAATTTTTTTTATTAAGGGAATATATTTATTAGTTTTCTTAATTCATATCTTTTAATTATGAGTTAAAATATTTAAGAATTAAAATTAAAGATAATTTATATATATTATTTTCTCTAACTTATTATTTTTTAGGATAAAATTGTAATATATTATAATTCTAAAAAGATAACAAATTAATAATGATAATTAATCTTAATCATACTTAATTTTAATCATATTATATAATATACATGAAGTTAATAATTAATCTTAATCATATTATATATTTAAGATACTCTTATATGCAAAAAAATAAATAATTAAAAAATGTAAATATATTTACGAAGATTTATGTATTGAAAGTTTTAAAATTCTTTTTAATAATCTTTACGAGTATTTTTAATGAAAATAGTTTATTAAGATAATTAAATAAAATATTAATTATTTAAAATAATTTTTTATTAAAATAATTTTATGTGACATAATAATTACTTAAATTTTTTTATAATTATTTTATCAAATAACTTACAGAGTAAATAAGGAGAAAATAAAAAAGAGAATGAAATTTTTTAAATTTATTAAAAAATTATAATAAAATAAAATGAAAAGTAAATTATTTAAAAATGATATAATATTATAATTTTTTTTTTACATTTTCTAATATAAGAAATAGTTCATATAAATTATTTTTATTGGAGATGTCCCGAGAAATTATGGAAGGAGAAAAAAAAATGGTGGCATGGCATGGTTCGCTTGTGGGGCACGAAGCATGAATGTGATTTGTCAGTTGGGCCAACCCGGTTTGAAAGAGTCCAATTCACATGAGACAAAATGTCATCCGTTGGAATCCTGCGTACAAGGACCACCGTCCGATGATACCCGCTCAAACTTCATTCATGCAATGTTAGTGCTGTCATTTTTCTAGTGTCATGTTAGTAACGCGACTGAGACTCTGTTAGGTACATTAAAAAAAAAAAAAACTTTGACGCTAAACTGTGATTTTAGTTTTTTCTATTTGATGAGTTTTTGTTGCAAATGTGGTAGTTGAACATGGCAATCACAGATAATTACTTTTTTTTATCTTATTTGTTTAATGATTTAAATAAACTTAATAGGTGTATAAATAATATTATTTTATTAATATATATATATATATATATATATATTAATAATTTTGTTAGGTAAAGGTTTATTTTTTATCTTTATCTTTTTAATTTAATGATTAAATAAATTTATTTCTCATAAATTATATCATATTATTATATTTATAATTAAAATTAATTTTACCAATACAATTTAAATTCTAAAAATATATTTTTTATTTATTTTTTGAAATAAATTATTTTATATATATACATGTTTTGATTTTTTTTTAATTTTAAATCAAGTAAAAAATATCCGTTAAGTACTATTTTAAATTTTATTTTTTAGACTCATAATTATATTAAAAATAGATATAAAATAATCATTTAAAAAAAAGTATATCATAACTTACTTAAATTTAACTTAAATGCATTTACTAAATAATATATACAAACTATAACTTTATTTATATAAAAGTTTAAATGATAATTACCATTTTTATCTCTTAATTAAATTTCAAGTTTAGGAAAGAAATTAAGGGAAATAATAATTTATGGATTTAAATTACATCATCAAAATAAAATATAGAATCTTAGATCAAGATAAACTAGGAATTTCCTCCAAAGTTAATTTTCATTTAGAAAATCAGTGCCTGTGGATGTTATCTTATAATTTTCTGAGAAATATTAGTTGTAAGGGTGAGTTTCTTTTTCACCATCGTCTTTTATCCAACACAATATATATATACTACATTTGACAGAAGATAAACTTATAATAAAGAAAAAATTACATAGGTAGGAACTTAATCGTAACAAAATTATTTATCAAGGAATTAAATGGAACAACTTTTTAAAGAAATTAAAGTGAGCTACATTTTAGAATTCAAAGGTATCATATGCAATTAGAAACACTAATTGTGAAAAATTTAAACACGTTGTGTAAAAAGAAATGACAATAATATAATTAAATAAATCAAGGTTTAAAGTAGCGATTTGTCTGAATTAAAGTTTTATTTTATTGGAAAACTCTGAGTCAACGATTGACTTAGAAGATCTGTCATTAAGGTAACTGATATGTGAGAAGTGATGGAAATATATAGAACAAATGTTTATATCAACATGTTAGATATATAGAAGAGTAATTTAATCATTATTTTTTAAACTTTTCAATGTAAAGGGATCATATCAAAATTTAAATTTGTATAATTAATTTCTACATTATTTATCAAATATTTTATATATTTAATGTGTATATGAACAATCATTTTGGTTTCCAGCAAAATAGAAGAGCACACTTTTATTATAAGATTTACAAACAACATCAAACCAAATTTCTATCACGCATTACTAATGACATTCTCGTCATAATTCTCTCGCTACATTAAATACTTTAGAACTCAAATCATTGTCAATATGACACTTAGCTTGTATTTGGATTAGGGTGAAAATTTAAGAGAGTGAATTTGAGGTGATTTAAGTGAATTTGTGAGATTGTTTGAATTAAAGGAAAGATAGAAGATTTATTGTAGCATATCTGATTGAATAATAGTATTTTTAGTGTAATGATCAAATTATCCTTGTGAGGTGGAATGAAATATTTATGCAAATGAGAAAGGTTAACGAGGGTAATTCAAACATTTGTTACTTAATTACCCACATTTTCATTGGAGTGGATTTGTGAGAGTGTGGGATCCACCTCCCTATCACTCCAAATTCATTCAAATAAGCATAAACAAACTAATGGATATTCTCACAAATCTCCTCCTTGAAATCATCTACTATAATAAATCAGTAGAAGCAAACATAACATTAAGGATCATCAAGGTTATACACATGCTTGGAAAGTTACTTGTAGGTCTAACATCTCAGTATACAATGTGCGCATACCACAACCTTTTTGGCTTAATTCAAAATTCAGATAAAAAGTGGATTGTTAGCTCATATAAGTTTAATTTTTTCTTACTAAACTATGTACATCAATTCCAATGTAATTTTTTCCTACTCACTCTTCCCTTAAGTTTCTAGAACTTTCTTTAAACTTTTGTATCCTAGACTATCAAAATAAAACTTAATGACTACATGATGCTAACATTAAATTTTTCACATATTCATTAACCATTGGTACCACATGCTTTTAAAGTAAAAAAAATGTCTCATTTCAATTTCATCTCAATCACAATCACATAATGAAATTACAACTATAATCACTTCAACATTATATCATCACAATCTTAATCATATTATGCCATGAGAATTTCAATCATACTTGTGTCATATCATCCTTATTTTATAAATCATCATATAATAACATAACAATCAAGAATGATATTAATTCCATAAATCACATATTGACTAATATTAATCTCATAATTTGATATTATTACATATATTAACATACATTTTTTAATTGGATTTATTTATATATGCTCCATTAAAAATTTATATATATATATATATATAGATAGATAGTGATAACTTTATTAGGGTCTATCATTGTATTTGAGGTATTGTTTACTTTGAAAATTTAGTATGTCATATTTTGTCATTAATAGACGTTTGGATGAACTATACTCATAAGTCTTACATCATTTAAAAATTGAGATTAATAATAATTTATATATACCTCCTCTATAAACTCATTGAAATGCTTTTTAATGACAAAATCATGAAGGTTTAAAAACTTCAAAGGAAAAAAATCTTAGATATAGTGATTAACTTTAATAATATTATCATAGCATACTTAAGCCCATGACAATCTTATTTTTTATAAGAATATTAGAATCTACTATGGATTGGAAATAAAGTTTTTGTTTTAATCCTCAATGAAAGACTATGTTTCAGTATATATGTTCATAAATCTCAAATTATTAAAAAATCAAAGAGAAATATATATATATATATATATATATATATATATATATATATATATATATATATCATCTTCTCTTAACTTATTATTAATATGTCTTTTAAGACTTATTTCATAAAAAAGAATTAGAACCAAGATTTTTGAGAACATAACATATTAATTTCTGTCATAACTCTCTCTCTCCCCACATACACACACAAACACACTTTTTTTTAACAAAAATGAATAAACTTATTTTACTTATAACTCTCTCTATAACACTCCAATTGAGGTATATTTATCTCAGTCCCAGGTTTGTCTTTTTAAAGAATTCATTTTTGAACTCATAATAAACAAATAAATTTCATACGGATTGAGAATAATCAAGGAAGTTTTAAGAATATTTTTGTGAAAATTTTATTCCAATCCTAATTTCCTTTCAAGTGTTCTTTATATCAAACTCTATGTTTAATGTCCATTGAATCCATTTTTTGTGTTACCATGTTGGAGTAGTAGAACAAGGAAGTTACAAAAATATAGGTGTTATAATAGAAAATCAGGGATTGAAATCAACATCTCTTACCTTAATTAAGCTTCTAAGAGCAAGAAGATAGAATAAGATTGCTCTAAATTAAAGTTCTTCCTTAGAAATCAAGAAAAAGAATAACTCTAACACTATGTTTCCATATATGTATTATCGTCAACAAAATGAGAGTATTGATTTGTGTGGTTTGTATTCGCTGATTTCACATGATCTGTGAAGAAATATGTGTGAGACTCATGCAAAGGAAAACACCTCCAATATTGCGAAGAAAAAAGGTGAAATGAGCATGCTAATCGAGGGAATGTTTGTATTGCCCTCTCTCAACAACTTTTCATTTGTCTCATTGCAACTTTTCAACATTGTACTCAAAGATTCTCTTCCAACACTACACTTACAAATGTCTTTAATTTTTCAGCTAGTGCAACACATTAATACACAACAAATGTAGTCTGTGTTTTCTTACTATTTCTTACCATGCGCGTTCCGTTGAGTCTTTGAACGAACCCGTGAGCCATTTTTCAACTATAAATACAACAATTGGCACGGCTTCTCGTTGTGCATTCATTGATATTGTCTCAAGAGAAAGAAGGTGTCATTGAGCTTTGCAAGGAATGAGCGATTAAGGGATCGAGAGAAGAAACCATAACAACGTTCCAAAGGTATTTTTGCTTCCACCCATTCGTGACAACTTCAGTAAGTTATCGATCATTTTTCTTCTACAATTGCTTATGATTTCATTTATTTAAGATGTCAAATTACATGTTATTTTCATCTGCATAAGTTTACGTGGTGTTGAGTTGTTGTTGAATCATTATTGATTTGTTGTTCAAATGTGTCATTGTTATAGATAAAGGTCAACATAATTGATTATGATGCAGTGTGTAATCAATTATGTTAGGGTACATAATTGATTATGAGTAATGACATAACTAATTATGCCATTGTTCCTAATCAATTATCAGAAAACGCATAATCGATTATGTGTCTATTTCATTTGTTTTGTGCAACATTGTATGAAAATATTTGTTATGTGATATTCATTTAATATGAATTAATTTTACACTCAGCATGGTCCTATTGGCTAAATCTGACCCATTTAAAATATCAGGGTCATTAGATTGATCTTGTTGACATCCCTGAAGACATGTGATATGATAGAGATAAGGCATTGCTTATGATGGTTAGACCGGAACTACAAGTACGAACTTGTAGAAATGTTGGTAATTTGATCGTGAAGTACAAACTTTTACATTATGTGTTCATTCATATTCTTAGTTCACAAGGAGACAATTATGCTTAAGTATTACAGGATGATATATTTGTGATATGGTGTATAAAGAATCACATTTCGATTAATTGACCTTATTATATCATCAGGCATATGAGAAAATATAAGACTAATTGTATGTCTCTGTCTTATGGTATTCTAATTACTCATATTCTAATACATTGTGACTTGAACTTGACTTTACAGTCAAGTCACTTCCTCATATGGACAAATAGATTTAATGAGAGATATTTGAAAAAGTTGAATGTCATAAATGTAGATGAGACATGACAACATGACAGAGGTCACCATGTCCAACAACCTCACTAAGAACAAGAACAAGTACAAGCACCTCCTCAAGGAGAACAAATATATCTTCTTCAACAAGCTAATACCATAAACTTAATATGAGAGATATTTAGATATGCAAAGACGCATGGCTAGACTTGAAGTTAATGTTAAAAATAGTTATTAGTCTTCAAAAAGAGATTAATTATATGCACCACATGATTGATCAGGTTGAGGACTCGATTGATCATATTGGTGACATCCCATTCCTGCTATTTTTATTATATCTTTATTTATTTTTTATTTAAGATTTTTTTAGATGATGGTATTTTTTATTATTTTGGATGACTATAATTTTATTTGAATAATTACATTTTTTTTCGTTGAATGACTATAATTTTAATAATTATCTATATATTTTTTCATTCAATAGGATAACTATAATTTTATTAATTATTTATATATTTTTTCATTCAAGTTTTAATTTGGATGACTTTAATTTTTTTCTTCAAAATTTTTATAGGTACATTATACTTTATTTTATTTAAATTAAATAATATATTTGATGTAAAATCAATTTTTCACAATTTTAATAAAACTTATAAATTATTATTAAAGTAATAAACCAATACATTTTAAATACTCTTATAAATATCACAAACTATTTTTATATTTTATATATAAAATAATTTTAATATATTTCACAATTTTATATATAATATAAATTAATTATTTAAAATTAAATTATATCATAATTTTAATTTATATTTATTTTATCTCTTATCAATACAGAGTATTTTAGTCAATACATACATTAAATTATTATTTTAGTTTTTTTATTCCATGACATCAATCTTAATTTTTTTATTATCTTTCTAATTATTTCTCCTCACTTTTTTTTTTACTTTTAAACAATTCCACTTTTCATTTTATTTCTCTGTTTTTCTCACTCAAATCCTCAAATCCACGCGCAATCAAGATAAATGACAATAATTTTTCTCGTAAACATCCTTTCAACAATTAAATATATCATTATTATAATAATAATAATAATAATAATAATAATAATAATAATAATAATAATAATAATAATAATAATAATAATAATACTTATTATTATATTATTATTCATGGTTGTTAGATGGGAATATTATTGTCAATCTATCACCACTCTTCTAAGATAAAGTGCAAAGCAAAATGGCAAAACTCCCTTCCTCTAATTTTGTGACACATGTATAGTTAACATAGTATGGTAAAAAGGTTTATTTAAAAAAAAAAAAAAAAAAAAAAAAAAAAACTCACCTTCCTCTACCCAAATCCTGACCGTCAACGAGGCAAGGAAAAAGCAGAAGACGTGTCTCCAAAATCCTAATTACCATTGATTAAGTTTAAGACAATTAATTCAAAATAACTATTTGACTCAATTTTTAATTTTTATCCTAACTTTTATTTTCATGGAATCATGTAAATCACTGAATTAAATATTTTGATTACCATGCAAAGCTATTATAATAAAATTTTAAAGAAAAAATTATTTAATTTATAACTAGAAAAATAATTAAATTTAAAATTCAGTTCTAAAACACATCGATTCTATGATATAGTATCTTTGTCTCAATACATCTAAATAAATTTACATAAAAAACAATGTGTTAAACTCATCATCAACGTCTTAACGCTGACAATTATCTCGCGGTGTGACAGTGAATAAATAAAAAATAAAAAATAAACTCATCAATATATTTATTTAAGAAAAGTATTGAAAGAAAAAAAATGCGAAACCAAATTTTGCTAGTCGTACCATACGTATTATAACATCTATTATAAAACAACCACATTTCAAACTAATTAAAATAGTATTTTATTATATATTTAATATATTTATTTTTAAAATTAAATATTATTATTAAAATAAAAGATAATATTTTTTACTTGACA